CCCTGGGGGCTCAGCTGATAAAGAATCCTACCCCCCCCTACTCCGCGACCACCCCACCCCACCCCACCTCCCCCATCCACCCACAATGCTGGAGACCTGAGTTCGATCCCTCGGTTGGGAAGATCCCCTGGAGGAGGGAAAGGCTACCCAGTCCAGTATTCTGGCCTGGAGAATTCCATGGACTATATAGTCCATGGTGGAGAAGGAAATGGCAACCCACTCCAGAATTCTTGCCTAGAGAATCCCGTGCACTGATGAGCCTGGTGGGCTGCCGTCTGTGGGGTCGCACAGAGTCAGACACGACTGAGCAACTTTCACATCCCATCACCCCTTTGGGGCTTCCCTGGTGGCTCAGAGGGTAAAGCGTCTGCCTGCAACGTGGGAGACCTGGGTTCAATCCCCGGGTCAGGAAGAGCCCCTGGAGAAGGAAATGGCAACCCACTCCAGTCTTCTTGCTGGAAAATTCCATGGGCGGAAAAGCCTGGTTACAGTGCATGGGGTTGCAAAGAGTCAGACACGACTGACTGACTTCACTTTCACTTGAATTCTCCTAATTTGGGGGTATGCTACCAGTCTCTTCATCCATTTCACTTTCCAGAGTGTTAATCACATCACAGTTCTACTTAGAAATGCCTCTCATTCACCATTATCTCTTGTTTTGACTAGTATTGATTTGTATGTTCTATAATAAAAGTAATTCCCAACACAGCACTTTCTCCAGTTCAGTGAGCCATTTTAGAGCATCATCAAACCTGAAAGGGTCAGGGAAGCAGCCGATCTGTAGTCAGCTGTTCCGGAGCAGGGGTGGCCTGTGGACCCCCTGAACTTTTGGCTGTTGTCTGGAGTACAGGCAGCCCTGCCTGACTGTCCCCTTCATCTGTTAAACAGGAAGTTAGGCATGAGCAACGGGGGATGGTTTAGCTGAAAAAGATTTAAGCTGGTCTCTCAACTCCACCCCAGACATGCCCCAGTGGGGCCCAGCAGAGCTCACAGATATGCTACAAAAGAACCACAGAGACTTCTCCAACTCCTTGCAAGGGCCCCGGGATCACAGTGGATACAAACTAAGCACCGGGACTTCTCCAGCCGCATCCCCCTCCATATGCACCCTTGACGCACAACTGTGTCCTAAAGCGACCTTAGGCACCCGGGAGTCTATTAAGGGCTCATAAATATTCATACATACATACATCTATTAAAGCAGACTGCCTTATGGGAAAGACACGTGCAATAGGTCCTGGTGCTATGTAACTTGCAAGTGTTAATCAAAACTGTTAGTCCTTGCCTGGCTGGCTGAGGACCTAAAAGCCCTGTTTTGAAAAACACCCCGACCTCATTGCTCAGTGCCTCTCTTGGCATGGCCCACATCTCCCTTGAGGCATTCTTTCTGTTCTCTCTTCAATAAACTTATTTTTGCCATGGGTAAGACCTCAGATTATTCTTTGTGCCCTTACCACGAAGCAAGGCCTGCAAGAAAGGGTCTTCTTCAAGTCTGTCTATCTGGTAACAAAACTTGCAGTCCTGTTAACTCCAAATGTTTGCCTTTAGAAGGCTGCACCTGTCTATCTGCCCTCACTAAACACTAGCTGATCCTCAGATATACTCGTCCCTGGGACTCAATCTGTTAGCACACGTCTCTCTGTTTTGTTAAAGCCATATACAACGTTCCTACGTACCCAAAAGAAGGTTCAAACATTCAGTAAACTTCTCTAAGCCACAAGTGCATTAACTAGCTCCCACAGTTCTTGGGCATTACCTTTAGCTTTGGTTTTGATTTTGACTTTAGCTTAAAGTCTTTGGACTTACGAACACACAGATGATGTAATAATACTTCAGATAATATTTTATTGTCATTACCATCATCTGTCTACCTATCTCAACTTTTATTCCTTTCTCCACTCACAGATGTTCATTTGAATGTACAGATTGCATGTCCTGCCAATTCAACTTCAATATATCCTTAAAAATATATATATTTGGGGTGGTGTTTGTATCTTTTAAAATTATATACATAGTAAGGTGTTATTCATCTATTAAATCATACTGTTTGTTTAAAAGTTACTTTTTGGATACGTTGATACATAAGTCAAAGGCTTTACTTGATCTATGCAGCCTCCTAGATATGTAGGTGACCTAGGAGCTAAGCATCAAGAAAATTAATGGATAGTAAGTGCTTCCTGGTGGCTCAGTGGTAAAGAATCTGCCTGGGAAATCCCACAGACAGAGGAACCTGCTGGGCTCCAGTTCACGTCAAGGGTCAGACACAAGTGAGTGACTAAACCACAATGTGTGTGTATACTCCGTGTATGTATAGATACACGCCCTCCAGTTTCTGCTGCCACAAAAACTGTAATACGCCCTGTACATTTGCCCACTGTGACATTGAAGACAAACAATGAGTAAAATGTTATTTCAAGGAATATACATATCCCTGAGTTCACTCTAGATTCCTTATGAAAAATAGCTCCATTAGTTTACAGTCTCATCAACTGTGCATATTTTTTCTCCCCACTCTTCATAATACTTAATATTGCTTGGCATCGCTTTACTTTTGCCTCAAAAATAGCTTTCTAGTTATTATTTTTTCCCTTTGTGCAGACAGAGTTCTTTTTGGTGTAAAGAGCATATGCGGTTATTAACTGGAGTGAAACAACTTCTCCTTTGTACCATCACTAGGAGAAGTCTGCCCTTTAGGAGCCCATTGTTGGGGTGGTGTTAGTCACTAAGTGTTCCCCTCTCGCGACCCCAGGGGCTGTAGCCGGCCAGGCTCCTCCGTCCGTGGGATTCTCCAGGCAAGCATACTGCAGTGGGTTGCCATTTCCTTCTCCAGGGGATCTTCCCGACCCGAGAATCAAACCCAGGTCCCCTGCGCTGCAGGCAGATTCTTTGCCATCTGAGCTACGAGGGAAACCGCTGCACTTTCCCAATCTCACTGTTGATTTTCCAGGCCTAGACCTGGGGAAAATAGAGGAAAGGAAAATTATTGAGGACTAATAGGATAAGAAAGCTAACGTTTCTTTTCTACCTCCGACACAACCTTGACGACACGCCACCGCATCCTGCAGACCCTGCCGCTTTCACATGCAGAAGAGACAGCTCCGCGGTCCCCTAAGCACCCAGAGACACGCTGGGCGAACTCCGTCGCCGACTGCGCTGCCTGCGTGAACTTGCCCTGCTCACGCCGCTCCGGGTTCCACAGTCGTCCCACTCCAGGATGCACGGGCCTTCCAGGGACGTCACCCAGGTTTTCTGAGCTGATTTCCGTTGCCTATTGAACTGCCTCTCCCGGCGGCAGCATCTCTGAGGTCGGGGTCAAGGGAAGAAATCACAGCCTTGTGTTAGACACCTTGTCTGAAACCCTGTGGTCGTCTTACAGAAAGAGTGACTAGCTTGTGACCACAGTCGTTCATTCTTGGACCCGTCTCCTCTTGAAGTCGCTTCCTGTTGTGGGAACTTCGTGCACAGAGGGTTATCCTGAACATTCTAGAGCTAAAAGTGCTGCGATGCTGGGTTGCTCGGCTGCGTCTGAGTCTCTGAGGCCCCATGCACTGTAACCCTCCAGGTTCCTCTTCCCATGAAATTTCCCAGGAAGGCAGCCTAGACTAGTGACTTGCCGTTTCCCACTCCAGGGGATCTTCCTGACCCAGGGATCAGACCCGCGTCTCTCTCTTCTCCTGCACCGGCGGGCGGATTCTTTACCACTAGTGCCCCTGGGAAACCAGAGGTTAAAAACACTGAGTCTTAAAAGGCTCGGAGGAAAGAGCCTGCCAGAAAGGCAATTTTAGATTAAAACAATAACTCTTGTGCAAAGTCAAGATCGCCAGTGCTGATATGTTTGAACAACAGAACATGGAGACAATATTCTAACATGTTTCAGACTTCCCTGAGCTTTAATTTATGTGTGTCTATGTGATTCTCTATATCATGTCTGTTACATAAATGCTTAGGGGTCATCCAATGCTTTTATACTACTTTAGTACAGTTTTGTGAGGGGGATTCCTTTATTCAGTGCAGACACCAGAAGTCATACTTCAATGAAAATATCTGAGATAACAAGATTTTATATATATATATATTTGTTGTTATTGTTCAGTCACTCAGTGGTGCCTAACTCTTTGCAACCCCACAGACTACAGCACACCAGGCCTCCCTGTCCCTCACCAACACCTGGAACTTGCTCAAACCCATGTCCATTGAGCTGGTGATGCCATCCAACCATCTCATCCTCTATTGTCCCCTTCTCCTGCTGCCTTCAATCTTTCCCAGCATCAGGGTCTTTTCCACTGAGTCAGCTGTTCACATCAGGTGGCCAAAGTATTGGAGCTTCAGCTTCAGCATCAGTCCTTCCAATGAATATTCAGGGTTGATTTCCTTTAGGATTGACTGGTTTGATTTCCTTACTGTCCAAGGGACTCTCATATAAATATTAAGAAACTCTAGATTTGATTATTACATATTCAAACAGCTGGCCCAAATATTTTAAAACTCTAAATTAAATTTTAAATAAGTGAACTATTGTTTTACCATGCTCAAGAATTCATAACTTATCTCAAGATTATAGCAATACTTACAAAAATCAACATGGGACTTTTATTTACAAAAAAATAGCTCACACAATGTCTGACAGAAATGTCAAGCTTCAGATACAGATTTGGAAAGACTTTGACTCAGCTTTCAAGTAGGTCTCATGATCTTGAGTTCATCTGGGTACAAGATTCATACTCAGGAAGGATTGCTTATTTATTTATTTATTTTTCCACATCATGATAAAAAAAAAAGGCAACTTCACACAATGATTATGCAAAGGTCCTGAGTTTGTTTGAGCTCGATCATGAAGATCCAGTCACTGAGGTTAGGGAAGTGCAATGCGGTTGCCCACTTAAGCTTGGGGTAAGCCTTGCCTGGGGGCACAGCCTTTCACAGAATCATCTCAGTGCAGGGGAAGCGGGGACTTACGGAGTGAGAGTCCACCGCTGGCATCAGGCAGGGAGGAACACCACATGTGGCTGGTTGCCTGCTCCACACACCGCCAAGAGGTGATTCCTCAGTGGGACAGCGGGGCGCTGCCAGGAAAGGGAAAGTGGGGAACGCCGGCCGGGCCTCCCACAAACGCTCACTTCACCTAGGAACTGTCATCCTTCTTTAGTTTTCCCCTCTAACCCAGCTGATCTCTGCTTATACTGACCACATTTGACTTTCTAAACACTGATTTGATCATGCCACAGTCTGACATTCTGCATAGTTTCGCATTGTGGATAGATGAAAAATATAAAAGATCTTTCATTCTAAGGGTGCATCATATCTTAGGGCTTTATGTTTAATCACTGTTTCTGCACAACTTTTTGTATAGCTTTTACTTTTTTTCACCACACCTGGTCATAGACTCTCACGTACCTGTGGTTTCATTCCTGCTGTCTCTTCAAGCTTCTTTCTCTTTCCCCTCCTGTGACTTCCACATATATTTTTCACGTCTCTCTTGGCATCACCACTTCTGCGAATCCCCCTTGACTTGTCTGTGACTTTGCCCCCTCTTTTGTTCTTCCATGTTTCTTTCTTTCTTTTTTCCTTTGTTGTGGTTCCCTTGATTTTCTCCCCCAAAATATTGGTTTATTTGAACATAATTTTTATTCACATTTTCTAGTCACTTTAAACATATCACTGTTATTTCTGCTTGACAAATATAATAAATAAAGAAGATGCATGTGAATAAATAAGTAGATATTACATTTTCTCGATAACTAACAGTCTCCATATTTTAGTCCCTATAGACTTCTGATGATAGGGGTTTTGCATAATGTGCCAGACTATGGATAAAAGGCCAACTACTGACATTTAATTGATGATTTTATGAACTTACAAGGAACCATAATAGACCAAAGAGGATAAAACTTTCAAGCTTCCCTAGGCCACATGATGTTTAATCATTATAAATAATTTCAGGCTGCTAATGCAGGAGAAAGGTAGAGCTGCAGTGGCCACCACATTCCCTAGGCCTCTAGCATACATCAAGAATCCACAGTAGTGCCTGGTACATTCGGATGTTTAATAAATACAAGCTGCTATTTGTATTTATTAATATTTTTATTAAGAGATAAATTAGTAGCTATGACCGCCTAAAAGACAAAAGCTATACTTAATTTCTCTTTCTACAAAACAACATCACACTACAACAGGTGTTCCACTAATTATCTCTTGAAAAAATACAGAAACATAATGTTTAGGAAAAAATGAGAAAAAATGGCCTAAAATCATCCTAGGTATAAAATGGTGTAAAAATGACTTTTGGAGATAACTCTAACTAAACAAAAATTAAGAAGAAAAAAATTACTTAATGCTAAACACAATTGTTTTAAAAATACATAGGTTGTTTTAGTCATCCTAAGGCAGTTTTTCAATTAAATATGAAAAAGATAAAGGTAAGGACAATAAAAGCATTAAGAAATAGTCCACAAATATTACAGGGAAAGTATACTGTTTGAATGATATGATTAGTCAAACTTCCCTAGAAGAACTCTTAGAAAGAAGAAAAAAATAAAGAGCATGAATTTACTTGCCTAAAGTTAAGCTAGGATAAGAAGGGTGATCTTTGAGAGAATACACTGTACAAGACAAATCTTTTTTAGTTATTATCAAAAGGCATACAAAAGCTCTTTTCTTTAGAGTAAAGATTTCATTCAATCCAAGAAAAGGAAAATAGGTGTATAGAAAAATAAAGAGCTTATAGCTGCAAAATTTGTAATAGAGGTGCAATTTCAAAATAAAGCATTATATTGTGTAGCTGTATTTTACATTTTTATAAGAGAAAATATGAGCTATTCATTTTTTTTGTTATCCCCTTAACGAACCAAAGAAATTAAGAACTCACTGAAGACTTATAGTTCTAAATATAATTTTTTACTTGCAAGCTTACATTAAATTGATAACACTTCCCTCTGGAGTATGTTTTATAATCTTGATAAAATGATTTGACTGGCCCCACAGTGATGCTATGAGCTTCACTATAGAAGAGGTTAATACGCCTATAACAGTGCACTCCTACGTGCTCTAATGGCACGAGTATGACCAATCTATTTTTATTGAAATTATTTAATTTTGGAGGCCTGAGTTAATACCTCCTTGCCTCAGGAGGAAAATATGATGTTTATGCTTAGGAACCAGAGATGATAAATTTAGCCATTATACTGAGTCTGTACATAACCATGCATTACCTTTCTCTTGCTGTGCCGCATATCAGAGCTGTAAGCTATTTCTCTATAAAATAAATATGTGTATCCTGCATTTACAAACTATTTTGTCTATGCTGTGTTCTTGATTTTTGTGCTTGAATTTATCACATATGGCAAAGAATGCAATTAATTCACGAAATATATACATACTGCTTATTGCTTAAGTCCTGTGTGCCAAGCCCTATGATGTCCTTGGAGAATCCACCATCAACAGTAGAGATGCTGATTCTGCCTTTGTAGTCCTTATGTCCAGGTGAGGTAACTCACTAAGAATCTGGCAATCACAGCGTGGTTCCATGAGTTAAATGAGCTTATCAGGTTGGCTGTGTTGAAGACTTGGCAAAGTCAGCAGCAACTCTTTTTGATTGGGATGTCAGAACAAAACAGCTCAACAAAACTGATCTCCAAGGATACTAAAGAGGTGGTTTCTCAGCAGAGGGAAATTTTATGTCCCCCTCCCTTCCCCGCTCCACCCAAAAAGCTATTTGACAGTGTCTGCAGACTCTCTTTACTACTGACATCTAATGGGAAAAAGCAGAGATTTTGCTAAAAATCCTGTATTCTACAGGTGAGCCTCAAACTGCCCCACACCCCAACAATTATTTTTGTCTCAAAATGTCAATAAGATCTAGACTGAGAAATTGTGCACTAAAGCAAGTATTCAGAAGTTTAAGGGCCAAGCCATCGATTTGCTCTTTTGGATAGCTTTGAATTTAAGTTGCTCAATTTAGGACTGTGAAAATAGAAGTAAATTCTTTGTCACCAATAAAATGCACAAGTACTGAGTACTATCTGGGGCGAATACTTATTTTAATAGATGCCCTTAACTGCATTGTTTTATCTCTTAAGTGTAAATAAAAGCACTGGCAGCGGTTTTTTGTCTTGTTTAGTTGATGTACTTTAAAAATCTCCAGCTTTTGTCCTGGAAGAACAACTTTAGAGCAGTTAACCATTTCTGGGTGATTCATTTACTTTTTTACTTTCTCTCTGATTAAAAAAAAAAATAGAAAGTTGGAAGTGTCTGTTCTACTTGTTTCTCTGAACTCTCTCTGCTAAACCAAAGAATCTGATGTTATTTGCATAGTTCAACTGAAATGATCATTGAACAAACATCCCAAGGTGGGCCATCATGTCTTGAGTAGTTCTTTTTTTTCCAAATCAGCACACCCAGTTATTCTGTTCTCTTCAGCCAAACCCATATGAGTCACTTTCTCCCTCTAGCTTTCGGTTGCTTGCTTGGTATTGTGGCTGTTTTGTCCAGTCATTGTACAGTCTTGTAAGGTTCTTTGAGAAATGTCTTTGAATGATATAGTGCTACACATGTACAAGTGATTGTTGATTTTGTTGCTTACTTCCTGCAGGGGCTCTTGACATGATGGAAGGCCTGGCCAGGAGCCACCAGTTATCCCTGCCAATCATCAGCCACAATATATCTCTGCCCTCTTCCAACACCATCAGACTGTGGCAGCTTCTGTAGCTATTCTTGATAAAATTATTTTGAGGCTGATTATAATCATCATTCATATTTCTTTCAGTTACCAAAAGTATAAATCTAAAGAACCATTAATAACCTGAGATAATATTTTTTAAAAATTGAAGCCATGTGTCTGACCTTGAGATTTCAACTTTTTCATTCATTTTTCAGGCCAAAAAATGATAATAAAATGGGGGGATACCTCTTTTAGGAAAAAAGTACCTTAAAATCGATGTGCAATTTTAAAATACTCACTATATGTAAAATATTTCATTGGATAGTGAGAAACATTTAAAAGCAAGTAAGCTGGTCCCCTTGTCACTCTGAATTGGCTATTATCTAGACATGAGAAAGCCACTTCCTTTGAAAGCCTTTTGACAGCGACAAAGGGGACTGGATGCTGAAATGCTGCTGCAGGAAATCTCCTGCATTTTTAAGTCATTGCATGTCAGCAGAAAGTTGATAAAACCAAGACAAAGGGGCAGATCAGTGAAGGAAGAGAGAGAGTTACACAACTGAGGCTGAAAGGGTCGCTTTAACTGACGTCACGTGGGGCTTCCCCAGGGGCTCAGCAGGTGAAGAATCCTCTCAGTGCAGAGACACAGGAGACTCGGGTTCAATCCCTGGGCCGGGAAGATCCCCTGGAGGAGGAGAACGGCAACCCACTCCAGTATTCCTGCCTGAAAAACCCCATGGACAGTGGGGTCACAAAGAGTCAGACACCACTGAACAACTGACTCACACGCAATATTATCCAGGACATCGAAACTCATGCTAAGGAGTTTGAACCAGCTCAGAAAATGAAATGGCATCACTGAAACACTGAAGAAGAAAGAACAACAGTTGTCCAGATAAGTCTGTGACCATTTTTTGCATGATTTTCCGCAGGTTTACCTAACTGACAGGACACAGTGTCCCAGGACAAACACCATTACAGCTGCTTAACATGAATATTTGAGATTAGACACAAACGTTTTCTATGTGTGGGAAGAGAAATTATAATTTCAGTATGAAGCATGATTTTATATTTTCAAAATGTTTGGCTCATTGAACTAGCTATGACTCTACCTAGCTATGTAATTATTCACTGAATATTTCTTTGGATGCTTTGCAAAAATGAAGTTTAGAGTTAAATTAGTGATAGAAACATCACTAATTAATGTATAGAAGTATATATATATATATGCATATATATATATGCATATACATATATATGCATATATATATATGTATATATATATACATACAGATTATCACAGAGCTCTTATATTTAAATACGTATAAGGAATGTATCTCCATTCTGACCAGTGTGAGTTGGTACCTCATTGTAGTTCTGGTTTGCATTTCTCTGATAGTTAGCAATGCTGAGCATCTTTTCAT